AGCACGGACAGACCGAATGAACCTCCTTTGACGGCTGACCAAACGACTTCGAATATGGATCCCATGATGACGACGCAATCGAACCGGTTGAACGCGGAATCGAAGTATATCCGTATGCCGAGCGCGTACATTTTGATGAACATTTCGGCCATGAAAAGCATAAGGAACACGTATTCCGAATAAAAGACGAAATTCGTTATGTATTCCGGTTGTTTGTGATGTTCTATAGCCACGAACACCGTGTTAAAAAACACTAACACGATGACAAACCAATAGAACCATTGCGCTTTTACCATGTGTCTGATCCAAAACCTAAATCGTTTTTCGGCCCTCCACATGGACGCGCAAACGCCCTTTTTCCGCATTCGGTCCTTGAACGTCGGGGTGCGCGGGAAACCTGCAAATTCGAATATGGTCAATATTAATAATTTCGCTAAATACTATACTGAACTACTATAATTCCTGTCTACCAAATTGAAATCGTTTTAAAACACCAATGGCGAAACGACGGTGGTTATACGTGAGAAACGCAGACAGAATATCTAAAGAGATCACGTGAATAGTTACTTCTAGGTAAGTATACATATAGTACGCAGTACGCCATTGTCGAAGTGTGTGATACTCCGAATGTTTTCAGATCTTAAATGGCTTATAATCCAAAACAGTCAGTCGAACATGAATTATTTAGGTTGGTAACAATGACTAATTTTTTTACCATTAAACTAGCGACTAATTAAAAATGTTTTGGAATCCCTTACAAAAAAAAAAAAAAAAATTAAATAAATAAAATATATTTTAATAACTAATGAAAGTTCATATTTTGAAAATTATAGTGATATGTACTATATATACGCATATAAATTAATATATATAAGCAATTTCATATAAAATGTAAATAGTGTTTTCTGTTATGACAAATTAATTAGTAGAAATCGATTGCAATAAAAAATCTTTATACGAGTTACAATATTCGTTTTCGACCGTCCATTGCAGAAGGCACAGAATCATAGTATGATATTATTACCACTGTCGTAGAGAAACATTATTAATAGCGAAGGAAATATAATTGTAACAGGTTTGATCACTGGAGACGACAAACGCTTTTTAAAAGTAACCGAGAATACGTGTACCATAATAGTTATACGAAAAGGGCGGCGAATGCTAAAATAGTTTCTGTCAGATAACCACCGCTGTGAAATCAGCAACATCGTATTAGGTATATAATAATTATGTTATGTACATTTATTTTAGAAACAAAGTATGTTTTTTTTTTTTTTTTTATATATCGTCTACAATATCCATAATATTATGTACACAAGATATTATTTTTTTCAACATTATTTTCTATACTACAAACTAAATATTATATTACCAACAACTGTCCACTCTTTTACGTACGCACACATACACACACACACACACCTCCGACATGCAAAAGTATTTTATTTTATATATTCTCTTCCACAATACAAATCCGAGGTGCTTCTAAATAAAACAATTTACCCCTTCTCAAAACTTTTAAGCAAAACTCACGTTTAGTACAACATAATATCCTCTTACATGAACAACAACAGAAAAAAAAAACCAAAAAAAAATAAATAAACAAAACAAAACAAAACAAAACCGTACCTTTCTTGCCTTTACCAAGCACTGAAACATAACATTGAACAGTTCGATAAAGTTTTTTTTTTTTAACATAGCTTATTAGGGGCACATATAATTTATTTATATATATATTTTAATAAATCACGGTAATATTATAGTACACAGTACACGGGACGTGCAGCTCCAGCGGCATACAATTATAGTATTTAGTAAAACCTATTTGATCGCAACCGCAATCCACGCCATGGTATGTGTGTATTTAACCAGTGCTCGACTTGGAAAATTAAAAAAGCGGGACTTTGTTTACTTAAAAAAAAAAAAGAGCATCCCCAAAAATTGTTAAGCGTTATAATTATACCGTAATAATAGTAGGGGATGCTGAAATTTCTGAAAATTAATTGGGGTACTCCGTTCCCCTGTGTTCCCTCCAAAAAATCAAGCACTGTATTTACCGTGGTGAAAAAGAACAATCGCGCCTTACCTTCATCGGCTTCTTCTTCCTCGCACTCCTCCTCGGATTCCGTGCTTTTGCTTTTGCCCAAGGTTTTCAGTTTTTTTCTTTTTATGTCAGCTCTTCTTCTCGCTGTCGACAAAAACACAACGTTTCTTTATTATGGGTACTATCAACGGAAATTCCGGCAACTGACCACCGTGAAGAGATATAAAATCCATAGGACTGGGTTACTAGGGAGGGTTAAGGAGCAATTTAGTGGAGATAGTGTACGATTTGGTAATTCCAAGTCAGTTTAATTTTTACATATGTAAATTCAACCATAAAGGTGTCCGACATGTATGAGAAGTTTCTGTAGTATTCATTCGATCAGAGATTCTCTCTAGTTTTCGAATTTATATTTTTAGTTTACTTTAAAAATAAGGTCTTTGTTTGGACTTGGCACGTATTTTTAATGAAATTTTTCTGGAAAAATCACGGTTTCAAATTTAAAACAATATACATTCTTATATTTTTAATAAAATTCTAGGTCCATATTTCGAGCCCACAGTCAATTGTGGGGGAGGGGGAGTGAAGCACGAAACGATGTGTTCAAGATCGTTAAACGACTTGAAACGGTTCATAACCAAGCAACATTGCCTGCTATCTAGCGGCTTTTCAATTTTAATTACCTTCGATTATGTGTCTTCTCTCCTCATCCGTGGTTCGTTCTTCGGCCAGGATCACCTCCTCTGCAGGTAGTTGAAAAAAAAAAAACAAACACCATTAGTAGTTATGATTTTTATCGTTATTATTATTTATGTATTTTCAAACAGATCGCGCTGTTGTCAAAAAAGTTAGCTACGGCACTACGCGGATACTAGATTAACTATTAGAACTCAGGATACCGACTTACCGGCCTTGCATATCCAGTCTACGTAACCGTTGAGCTCACGCTCTAGCTGTTGTTGTCGCCTTAGCTTCAAAAAAGTTTGCCGGTTTTCAACCTTTTCTCTTTCTTTAGCGAATTCTCTACAAGCCAGGACATAAAATACAGGTTCGGTATATGTTACATGGCAACTAGCTACTGTTACAAAATTGTATTAATGAGGAGGGGAAAAATACAATTTTATTTTATTCGTAACAAACGTATGGGTGTACCGGGTTCTGCTGCAGGTTGTTTTTGCTCAAGATACGAGGACCGCCCATTTCAGAAAATTAACAACTGTCGGGAATCGTTCTACGAGTACACACCACCGGAAGTGTTTAAAGAATTTCACGATGTTCAACACCTCGAAATATTTCAATTTTTTTCCTCCCCTGTTCGTTTAACAGGAAACGTATAAATCTAGCACCGAACGAGATGACGATGGATTCACAAATTATGTTGAAACATTTTATTTTATTTTATTTTTTTTATCCGTTTTCGATTTATTGAGATAAATATTGTTGTTGTGACAATCATTAATAAAACACGATAAGAATTAGAATATTTCGCGATAGGGGGGGGGGAATGTTCAATAATTGAAATATTTCACACTTAAGGTGATTCGATCCGGGTTAAGTTTTTTATCAAAATATACCTATATTCTACCAATTGCACTGATCTGCCTAGTTATCGGATGAGACTCATAAAAACATATTTGAATTCGTTATGAAGTTGACTTGAAAAAGAATTTTTTACTTTTTTGAATTATTATTCTTATACCTTTAAAAAATTGATTTTAAAATCTAAAATGATAATAAATTTATAATGTAAATAATATTAAATTGATAAAATAATTTGAAAATGTAAAAAAGTCGATTTCGATTAAACTTCATGACTAATTCAAATACGTTTTTAGAAGTTCTATTCGATGACCAAGGAAACCAGTATGATTGGTAAAAAATTGATTCTTTTCGAAAAAAAAATAGAACCTAATCATATTCCTCGCAACAGTGTAGTTTGACTTGTGCATGCGCGTGTGGAAGTAACCTCTTTCCGCTAATTATAATGCCCGAATTGTTATCAAATCTGTTTATTTTATATTATACTATACCTAAATGAAACTGGGCTAGATATTGTCATAATTCAAAAGCTAATAAATAAACTCTCAAAGATAAGACATAGGTAATTTTGTAAACGAAAATGAAAATTTTAGAAATCGGCAGTGGTAATTCTATGGTATAGCTAAAACACAAAGAAGTTACTATTTTGTTATGTTTCTAATATATTTTAAAATAAGCAATTCTGTGATATCTACTATCGGAAAACTGGTTCTGTCATCGCGCCGGTGCATTGGTGATTAGCAGCACGAGATTAATATGGCCCGGCATGGCATATTAGAAGAGGGTTTAGAGCGGGGTAATTACATACACTAGTGTTCATTTATTTCGCACACGTGTAACAAATTGCCTATATTCAACCCCTTAAAAACTATCCGGATCGAATCCCCTTAAAACACACTAATAATAATAATATAATACGTGGTACGTAGCCGAGGAAAGGTACGTTCGCTAGGTGATTGGGTGTACTAAACTTTCAAATGAACTGCGCGCTTCGAGAATACGGTAACAATACCTGCGTACGTAATCCAGTTAATATAAGTATTAAACATATCGTTGTACATTTTTTTCGTGCGCATCTTGTAATATTTAGCTTGCCTCTCTACGCGGGTTCTCTCGTTCGAGAACTCTCTGCAAAGCGTATAGAAACAATCTCATCGAAAGTCTCGAGCATATAAGATTTACCCGCCCGAAAAACGTGTAAGTTTTAAACGTAAATAATATATTGTATTATCGTATTCTCCACCCCCATAAAAAAAAAAAAAAAAATAAATAAATAAATAAACAAAAATTAAATTAAACAACAAAACAATACTTACCCGCTAAGCACACCGAGAACTAAATTGAGCATAAAAAATGAACCTAGAATAATAAGTGGTACAAAATATATCCAATTGAATAGCACGCCGTATGCATCGTTCATCTGTAAAACGAAAACCGAATTGGTATCAATATCTGTGGAGACAGAGTCTTGTAATGTCATTGACATATGCATTTTTGCGAGAAAACTTTCCATTCATAGCACACGCTTTTCAAGAATTAAAAAGCACTTACAAACGTTTTAAAAAACACTATATGATCTTGTTAATCTCTTGCATAATCTTTCATAAATGTATACAGTGATTAAAATGATGTTAAATTTCTCGAACTTTTGTAATTTAAAGAGGGTGACGCGTTCAAAGGCGTAATCTCAGGGTTGTAATGGGTGCACTTGTACCCACTGATATTTCAAAGGAAGAACAATAGTGTCGTTTTGCACCTATTGAAATATCTATGGCCTTAAAACTCAAAGTCTACGAAGTCAAGTAGTTATTCGCTACTCGTTTCGCAAAATAATTTAAAATCCATTTCCTGCATTTAAAATACCAAAGAAATCCAAAATAATTATTTAACAGCACAACGAATTTATTTATTTTTTGTTCGATTTCATTAAATGAGACCGCGCGTTTGACTTGCCTTATCTAATGTTACAATATAATATTTAGAAAGACGTTCGATTCCTCATCAAATTTAAATTATAAATTATTTTTAATTTGTCTGAACATTACGTTAATCGCAATCAATTGTTTTTTGTACTGTAACATTACTAACTAATAATTACTCATTTTTGTACACTTTACTTCTACGTTCTCTTTCTCTATTTATTTCTCTTTAATATCTTATTTCCCAAGACCCATCGAAATTTAATGATGACGTACTCCTCAAAAGCTGCCGTTTCACTTGTTTATTTAAAAATCATAATGTTAACATTCTTCATTTTGACTTGGACTTAACGGCCATACTGAGCTCAACGTCTTTCATTCGTAGGACTTTACTTATCGCCCTCAATCATTTTAGAGAACAGTATTCAATTTAGTTATAATTCACTTCACGGGTTTACCTGCTTGTTTTTCACATCTTTCATCGGGATCAGGTACACGTTATGGCTACAACTCGTTTGCTCAAAAATACACGAAACGATTACACACATATATTTCGGCTACCTGTGACGAAAATCCCAAATGTCAGAACTCGTTTGCTTATTATCGTTGATTATTATCAGGGCTTAATCATTCTTATTTGACTTTATAAAAGTAAATACATTTAATGAATTACATTAATCTGCTTAATATAAATCGAATACTATGTTATTGTAAGGCCCATCAAATCAATAATATTCATTGAATTGTAATATTTTTTATAAAATAAATTAATATAAAATATTTAAAAAAAAAATCAAAATTAAGAAAAATTGGGCATTCTTCATATATTTATATACTTTCAAATAATTAATTTTATACAAATATTGTATTGGTTTGACATTAAATTAATCAAATGTTCTTAATTGTTATTGAAACAGCTTCGATTAATTTCTAATAGGTTATTTGCTATGTTTTTGCGTATCGTTTGACCTATTTTATTAAAGAGAGAAGAACTTCGTTGAAATGCCGACCAAAAAATAGTCTTTGTGGCTTATTCTGTTAGTCGAGTGCACCTTTTAAATATATATTATAATGTAACTCGGTACGCGCCATTATAATAATATTGTTTGTGGCTATATATAATATCCTGCGTGTTATGATTGAATTGTTTTCCTTGTCCATTACTAACACGGTGTTCCAACTGATGGTTACAGTAACCACATCTACTCACCCAATACAATATGGTAGTCCACCCTTCCATAGTGATGCATTGGAAAACGGTGAGCATAGCCAACCCGATGTTATCGAACGACGTGATTCCATAGTTGGGTCCTATCCAGTTCTCTATGCACGTGGACGTATTGCTATCACAGAAGTACGCGCTGTACGGCTTCGAGGTTTCGTTCGAGTCCGAATCTGAATTGCAGGGCGCCGGATTCTGTCCCTCGATTTCTATTGCCTCGAGATTATCCAACCTATGGAAAACTCGGACATTACGTTATCGGCTTTCACAAAAAAGTCCGCATAAGCCGCGAAAATTACTATTGTTAGATGATATATGTATATATATGTTACAACGGATTCGTGAGATTGTCGATTTCATGTAGTCAACAATACCGTTTCCGGCAACTGAAAGGACACAGTTCTGCAGATTGCATGAAGTGCACGAAAAAATTCCGTCCGATTCGTAAAACATTTGCCGGTTCGATCATGAACAATTTCACGAATTCGGCGTGACACGTGCATACGCAGTAATAATAATGATGGGACGGTATACACGACAAATTATAATATCGCTCATCGTAAAAAATTGTTACTCTACACGGTTTTTTTCGAAAAGAGACCTGAGATGTGAGATGTTCTCACGGTCCACGGCTACCAAAATTCAGCCGCCGAGGTTCCCATTCGACGCATATGTGGCACGCGAACAACGGACTGTTCACCACGCACACTCATTTCACGCATTTTAATAAACTTCGTGATGACGACAGCACTGTAACTCTGAGTGAGACTAAAATATATACATATGTTACCGTCTATTATGAAAATTAGGTAATAACGTAAATGTCTAACTAATATCATAAATGCCTAACATTTTAATAGACGATGTCGTCAACGCTTATTGACCGACAACATAGGAAATTTCGTAAGAACCAAATATTTTTAGCATTTACAACTATGACTGGAAAATCACCTTAATACCTAAAACCGACTGACCATATTGACAATTTCGTTTGGCGAAATATTTAAATTGAGTGAGAAAATTATGAATATAAGATAAATTGTACATAATTATTTATTCGCACAATTTATTTTACCGTTACATTTTGAATTGCATAAAATCTATTAGTTTTGCATCCTGTTTTATAAATGCATTTAGTACATCCGTGTGACCTCACGATTCTACGCCTAGCAGCCTCATGAACGGTAATTCGTTTTAATTTAATAAATCGATAATTTTACAACGCAATGCCGTTTCTTTTCAACAAACAAATAATTGATTTACAATTTTTATAAATTACGGCTGAAAAAGACCGGAATTATCTAAGAAATATTAATGAATGCCTCATAGCCTGGAAATGACGGACGTTAACATCACTTCCTAGTAAACATCGTAATAACCGTTTAATTTGATCGGAAATGTTGTTATTCGCTAAGCATTTACGTTAATTCCTTAATCTACGACTTTGCCGGTAACATAAGTATACACTGCGGTTCGGTAAAAAAAAAAATCCAAGTAGTGGTCGAACCATTAGGAAACGATTTGAAATGTCGAGGATCTTACGTCAGACCATTTGCACGTAGTGCATTAGAAGTAATACGTAGCTGGGCGCATGTTGTGTTTGGTGATGTAAACGCTAAACCGAAAACGCAGTGAGCACGTAAATGTACGTACAGAGCAGTGTTCCCTATCGGCAGCTGATTGATGGGAGGTAGGGGAGAGTCGGCTAATTATTTTTCGAAGAACGGTGCAACACAATTGCGCAATTTTCCTTTTTTCCGACCCGATCCCTTTTTACCTGATAACATCGCAACACCATTGCACACCAAATTATATGCGTATACATAGTGTATAATAATTTATATACAACATGTATACAATACATACTTTTTATAATTTTCATATACGTGCACTCAAAACATTAATTCACTGAATGCACTTTTTCAAAATCGAAATAAAAAGTTAATCGAGCTATACATTTAGCATAAATGTAATTTAGAATGAAAAAACCATTTTTAACAAAGCCAACGATGATAATTTGTTGACAGTCCTAAGCCTGTAATAATTGGGAAGGAAAATAGTGAATTAATCGGTAATAAGTTTAAGTGCGGGTATATGAAAATATATGTAGAAAGTATGTATCGTGTGCATTATTTTATGTTGTACATAAGTTATTATACCTACATAGTATATACGCATGTTATTTGGTGCGCAATGGTGTTGTGATTTTAACAGGTAAAAAAGGATCGGTGCGCAATCGTGTTGCAGCCTCGAAGAAGAACTCAGGTATTGCACGTGAACAACACACGGATATGAAAAGATCGCGAGAACAATAATTTTCATCAAATCATAACGTTTGCGAATTTCCTATCATCCAAATGAAAATCGAACGCAATTCGATTCTTATTAATGTTTTTTGACGACGATGAAAAACGAAAAAAATCGGAAACACCGGTATACCGGTTAGCGCGCGAACAAGCGACGCCTAGCGTACCTAACCGTACGTAACCGTACCTAACCTAACCGTACCGCAGTACGGTGTGCACGTACTTGTAGCAAGTCTTGTGCAACGCTCCGGAGTAAAACTCCAGCCCGATGATGGCGAAGATGATGATGGCGAACAGCACCAACAAGCCGATCTGGAGCAGCGGAGCCATGGCCTTGATGATGGACTTCAGCACGACCTGCAAACCTGCGGAGTGGAAGGAAAAAAAAAAAAACAAAAAAACGACGTTGGATTACACGTAGGCACTCCGGACGGTAAATCCGTTGTTTTTAGCAAAAAAAAAAAAACAATCGTTGTTTAATCGATTCGTCTAAATTCGCGTTCGACAACGCGTCGCCGACGACGCGTTGCCGACACACGGTTTACCGGTAAGTTATACGCTGTGCGCGTACGATATTTATAGCGCGCTCGGCGCGTCCGGTCCGGAAGTGGAAGCGTTCGTTTTTCGTTTTCTTTTTTAAACGTTCTTTTATATCGATTTTTTTTTTTTTTTTTTAAGATATTGTTATTATATTATTATAAAATGTTTCCGTTCCGAATCATTTCCTCCGTGCGGCGGCGCGACATCGGACCCGTTGGACAGTCCCGTCTGCCGTGCGCGTGATGTGTACTCACTTGGAATGCCGGAGACCAGTTTGAGCGGCCTCAATACCCGGATCGCTCGCAGCGTTCGCAGATCCATGTTTGCCGCTGACGGTATTTGTGTTATACATCTGTGGCAACAACACTTCTAATCACTACTCAGTGCGCTACCTACCCCAAAATAAACACGCAATCCGTTCTATTCATCTAGTACTATGCGTCTATGTATGTATGTATATATATATATATATATATATATTTATAATAAACAATGTATGTCCCTCCGGACGTGTCTATGTAATAACAATAATAATAACAATAATAATAATAATAATAATAATAATAATAATAATAATAATATCTGTTTGATGGTCATGTGCGATGGTCCCGAGTACAAAACAATAATAATTAAAAAAATTTTAATAATAATAATAATAATAATATGATAGTATAGTATAGTATAATAATAATAATTATAATAATAAAAAATTAATAAAACAAACCGGAATCTACGGATCGAAATACAAGTATTAAAAGATACGTTCAAATATAGCAAAAATAATGTCGGTTGTTAATCTGTAATATTACGTTAGATTTCCGTGTCACTATGTATAAATATGTACGTGGTCTGTTCAAAATGTAATGATAACAATGAGGTCGAGGGAACATTTTTTTTTGTAAAAGCTGCTCACAATGCGTACTACCGTATAGTCCGGTGCAGTGAGTGGACGGTAAGTGTCGATTTGTATTACGCGTGTTAAGACGTTCGCCTACCGTTTCCGGTCGGATAATAAGTTAGAGCAACGTTGTAACGTGACATTTTTAATGAAACTTGGAAAGAACCGAAAATATGCATATGAACAATTAACTGCAGTGTATTGTGTCAAATAACACGATGTCCTCCAAGGCTGAACAGTCGCGGCAGATTATTATAAATCGGTTTCAACCGTGTTGTTGCGTCATTTAAAAAAAAAAAAAAAAACGACCGCATAAGAAAATTAATGAAATTTTACTGCATCATGATAACGCACGGCTCCCGTCACCCATACTGTAGTGAATTTTTTTAACGCTCGTGGTATCAAAACTGTACCCTGCCCTCCGTATAGTCTAGATTGAGCCCCATGCGATTTCTGGCTAATCCCTGAAATCAAGTACCCACTCAGGGGTCGGAAATTCAACAGTAATCATGAGGTCATCAAAGTTGCGGAGGCGCGGTGCAAAGAGCTCGAGAAAGATGGTCTGGCGTTCGTATTTGAAAAGTGGTAAGAGCGATGAAAAAAGTGTATTATAACCGAAGGAGGTTACTTTGAAAAAGAGCACGTAAATATGGATGATTAGATAAATATTTTTTTCTATATAACTTTTTTATCACTACTTTTTGAACAGCCTACGTATATATATATATATATATATATATATATATAGATAGATATATATATTGATTAAGGTTGCTGAGAGTTTAAAAAAAAAAAGGATTGGACAGGACCAAGGTTAACGACAACACATTATATTGCGCTCCCGTTCCCCTTTTTGCTCCCCGTGTCTCACAACTCCTAATTTCGGACAATTTAATATTATAACCGTCACTAGACAAGACTACGTTCGCCAACATTATCGTCCACTATATTCCTAATAAAATATAATGCGATACATATACATATATATATATATATATTTAAATATATAGATTTATTATAATTACATATATATATATATATATGTATATAGTGAGAGCTATTATATTTATTATATGTATGGTTCAAAAATAATCTACGATAGTTAATCAAATAAATTGTTTATCTACGGTCGACCGGCTTAAGTCAACGACGTGCAGATTTCTAATAAAACAAATTATTATTTTTAAAATATGTCGAGGTTTATTATAAATCGTAAAAACAATATCATATCGATAAAAAAAAAATGTATAAATAATATCGACCAACAGCTTGTAACAACAAAAAAATAAAAATAAAAATAAAAATAAAAAATTGAAAAAATAAAAATATAAAATATATATATATTATTTAATTATACAATAGACCCGTTGTTTCTATCTAGTTTCTAATTATGCCTAATCGGATCTAAATGATGTATGAATATACTGTTATAAATCTGTTCGAATCAAGCCGAATAATATATATATATATATGTATGTATGTATATAATCCAACTACAAATCGATCAACTGTACCAACGGTAGTATTCTACTCGGGAATATTTCTATCATCCAGCAAAAGTCCAAAAGAATATATTATTTATATGTGTAAATATATATAATATATGTTTATAAAAATAGTTCGCAAAACCAACGGTTACGGTCTAATCCAATTTACTCGGAACATGTCTAAACCAAATGCAATACGCCTACAAAAACGGGTTAAACAAATGGTTTTTACTGAATAATAATAGAACATTCAAGGATTTTTATTGAGTCAAAAATGCTTTCCTGTGGTCCTGAGACATTTCGAGTGCCTTACTTGGGATTCTCGAAACCAGTTTCAAAGGCCTGAGCACCCGAAAGGACCTCAACATCCTCATGTCCAGCATGTTGGACTCCATGAATTCAGTCATTGACCTAGAAATCGGTAAACCCCTGAGTCCAATTTATCCCTAGCCGATTCAAAGTAGTTTTGCTTAACATACGTTTTCATCTACTTTTTAATTTATATATATTTCTTAGATTTCGTGTCTATTTTTAAGTGTATGTATTTTTTTTTTTAGCACAAAAAGTTAAGATTAAGTTTTTCAAGTATATAGAAGCTGAATAAAACATTGTACTCACCCTGTTACAACTACAAAAAAGTCCATAATGTTCCATATATTACGAAGATATGAGCCGCTGTGCAGTAAAAAACCTAAAGCTAATATTTTGAGAGTCGCTTCGACGCAAAAAATTGCTAGGAAAACGAGTTCGGTTGCCTCCTGAAATTGTCACACGGGACAAAACACGTTTCAATAAAATGATGTGGCACATGGCACGGAGTCGACGAGAGGATGAATGGACACGCGATGGGAATAATGTGTTAATAATATTTTCAGATAATATGGTTTACCAAAGTCTTAGCAAGTACAGTCTTGTCTCCCCTGGGCAGATGTTCCTCCAGAGCCAACACCACGCAGTTGGCTATGATGGTTAACAGCACCGCATATTCGAACGGAGTGCGAGATAATTGAATTAAGGTTAAATTGTTGAAGTGTTGTTATGTTTATGAACGGAGAAGGATGAGAAACATGTTAATACCGCGAGTGCGATACGTTTTTATTTTTTCCTTTTTAGTTTCTAAACTCGGTTAACGATGAGGTTTCATGAACGGTGGGCGGTGCTTTGTCGGCGGTAGTCGTGATGGGATTCGCTGTGGCTTGCACTGCGATTGAACGTGGAATTGCATGTACAACAGGACTATTGAAATCGGAAGTGCATCATGTGGAAGAGAGTATTACGTTGTTGTTATTATTATCACGATGACGTTATGAATTATATTGACCTTGGACATGATTCAGTGCGTGTTTATAGAGGCTCATAAACACTTAGGGACGGGTAGAGACGGTAAAACGATTTCCGTCGAAACCGAAACACGGTATCATGTCGCCGCGGTGCAAGTGACGCGTGTGAAAACGATATTCGTCGATTATGTGCGAAAGCATGCGCACACCGTACATACAACCCACAATGTGTACTACAGGTGAACCGTATGGAGCTCAAAATCTCCAAACGATTCGTTCGGTTCAATATTAAATTGAATTATTCGGTTTGAACAGTTGTACTGGGTAAAAAAAAAAAAATTTAAATTTAAAAAGCAATTGATTTTTTTATACCCGTAAACTAATATATAAATAAATGGGGAAAAATCAAATTTATAGAAATAAATAAATTACTTAGCCTGGAGTGTTATTGTGTGTGTACAATATACCTGACCGTGAATTTTTAATTCGAAACCAGTCGTAATTTACAAATTTAATAATACTCCGGGCTAAGCATTTTTATTTATTTACTTCTATATATAAACTAATCGTTTATGCATTAGTATATTAACTGTATTGGGTCCGGTATCAACATTTGAGGTCAGTGTTGTTTGTGATATGATTATTTGGATGTAAACATTTAGTTTTAAAGTCTCAAAAGGATATGGCCATTCGATTATGAACCTGGTGTACCGGCGGACAGGGTTGTCGGTGCTGAACAGGAACAGGGACGACGGCCCAGGGGGCGCGTCCGCCTGCTGATGGTGATGATGGTGGTGATGGTGGTGGGACCGTGGTCTCCCCATGCCGGCGGATGTGCCCGCCGACCCGATGCAGTCACGTCCCGCGGCCGCCGCGACTTCCTTCTCCGCCGCCAACCTAGAAACGAGAACAGAAGCGATTGATAAAAAAAAATAAAATAAAACATCATTGTTAAATATAGTATGGCACATTACTATAAATTATTTGTTTTCATTTTAAATATTTCGTGTGTTGGGAATAAACGAGTGCACGTTTTTTTTTTTATACAAAATAATGTCGAGATTATCATTGCCAGTCATGGAGCTTATTGAACAGCAACTTGCTGTTCATCACTAACTGTTTTTTATTATCACCCTGATTTGGTGTCAACGATCTGTTACAATCGAGGGCGATTTGTCGAAAAACAAAAACGTTAACATAATATTTGTCCATAAAAGTCGCTTAAGCCTGATAACAGTGTTTTTAAAAGACTGTTACAATGAATGCCTTCAGAGTGATTTTTTTTTTTTAATGTACTCGTTAGGATTCCATATTTGTTATGAAACCATACATTTTAATCTAATTGTGACTTTATAGGGTCCAATATAATCTGTTATCAACTCAAATTTTAAATTAAATATTTGCACTAATATAAATAAATATAAATGTTAAGAAGTCATAAAATTCAATGATATTCGTGGTTATCGGTATAGTAATGATGCATACTCTGCTCGATAATACGAGAAATTGAAATCCAAATGGGAAAACTTGGTCAGTACCAAGTAGAAAAACCAAAAGTACAATTACTACTGTGCAACAATATATAGGTCCACTCTTAGTTATAGTGAAAAAAGCTGATTCGCCATATTTTTTATGTTGTGTAGGTTATTTAACCTATAACTTTATCAATGTTCTTTGCACGTGTAAAATTATGTTAGTTAATTATTATAATTACGAAGGTCTTGTTTTTTATTTATTTTATGTTAAATAATAATATATTAAAATAAAATACATAAATTAAAGAGTTAATTTACACTTATTTAAAGATAGTAGTATAGAAAGACAGAACAATCTCCTTCGAAATGCAGTAAGCTTCATATTGAATTAATAAATATTATTAATATAAATATTAATAATATTAATAAATTAGCATGCATTTTTCCGACAGACGAATAATTCCACATTTTATTCCATGATCGTCGTTAGTTAAGTGCATTTTCTTTGTCATCACAAGCCCCGTCATCCAAGTATTAGAATTCAGCGATTGATTCGCAAGACGAAACAGCAACGAAATATTTGAAAGATTCCTTAATATCTCATCTGCCACTTAAGATTGATATTTATTTATTACAGTCATCGTACGAATCTCCTAGACACGCATTTAATTTTTTTCTTTCTCCGTCACGATAAAAATTTTAATGTTGTCGCAATTCTACTTTTAGGGGTCTACTAATATTTTTTTAAATCAAAGAACGGATTAAATTTTATTTTCGTTTCGAATGAAAATCTATAGTATTACGACATTATTAAGTATTTTTAATATCTACAATAGTCGAATAAAATTCTTGATCACCAGAGTTTCTCGTAAAGTAATGCATATGGTGGGAGTGAGTTTTTTTTTTTTGTATTTTTATTTATTTTTTATTTTTATTAGGTGATAATAGAGTTTATACAGTGCTTTCAATCGAAAAACTTTAACATCTTCTTACGCTATAATAGGTACCTATAAATTATGCATACGCTTGATGCGCAAACACACGCTGGATTGTATGCAAATGATATTCATTTAAAAATTGCATATTTTATCACGTTGGTGGTTAAAAACCTGAATGGTCATCAACGTGTCTCATATTTTAATACACTTATTTATATCCCATTACGTCAAAAGACTTAATTTGAATGCCCTTCTTTAGAACGCTTTTGGTGATTATTCGAAAGCATCTTTCATTAGCTATATCGTCAAATCTTTATTCAGTAAACTGGCATAAAACCATCATCGGCCATATAAAGGGTTGAAAATGCACAAATATTAGTTTAGAACCCCGTATACAAACGCGTTTTATATAAAGTAAAGTAGCTGCTCTGCAGTGCAAAAATTCGTGTTCTAAAAAATCATAACTAAACAAGCTTACTTAGACTCGGAGACTGGATGATAATTGACATTGCTTTAATGGACGACATTATAAACTCGATAGATACAATCTATGTATTATGGTACAATAAACGACTTGAAATTGTTAATACGATTGTTTTACGTTTTGAAAAAAAAAAATGGACCTTTTCCCAATAATTGCATCCCACGAGATAGTGAAAAAAATAAAATAAAATAATGGCATCGATTAGCACTGAAAACATACGGCGTAAGGTAACAAACAATGACTTTTGAATGAGTCCTCATATTAATGAGTGTGAGTGTGACATTGTACAAGTGTTGCAGTACAAGTGCAAAACATACGGAAAAAGCAGGGAAAGAAAAAATCGCGCGTGAATGACCGCGAACAATTCATCGGTATTACGGTAATAGGATCGTCGAACTGCATACAAGTATATACCGAGGAGAAAGTTAAAAGTTTTCGCTCGACACGTCTTACGCAACGACGAACTAATAGCTACGATCTGTACTAAATTTATGATATTTTACTGTTGCAGTCAGTGGTAAAGACAAAGAATAGTGTCGAATTTATCGAGCGTGTGCGCCAAGGATCGCCGAGTGTTTGCAGATTCGGCGAGGGGTGCGGGGCATCGAGGGTGCGGGAATAGGACCCATAATTATACGGAATGGGACGGAGAACGCGGACACTGGTTATGTCTACATTAGAATATTGAACACTTTGAGCCGAGATCGATCCGTCACGTGAAGTTTATAGGCGTCCCCAGGGAGGGGCAAGAAGGGAAACTTGCTCCCTCCTAGATTTCTAAATCTATTTATTCAAACATTATGTAAGCTAATGTAATAACGACGATAATATAATGCACCGATGTATAAAAATTGTACATTTTAGACCTACGTATGTAATAAAAATATGATATTATAATAATATGTTGAAGTTTAATGATTTTTAATTTCTAATTATTTTATAATATATTAATGTTATACATTTTTTAGTTTTCTAAAAATATCTTAATTTAATTTTTAAAATGCCCTAGAAAAATATCTGCGAACGCCCATGGTGAAACTGCATATAATCGATAGTATACGTGTGTAAAGTACATATATGGTATATTTTCGTATTAAAGGGAAGGAGGGGGAGTGCATCTTAACACACGAATCTTTTGTTTATATATCTAATACACAGTTAGGTAAAAGGTTCTTGGTGTGCATAATGGATGGAGCGCGTACTTGCTATCGAACCAAGCGAGTTTATTGACAAGTCGTTTATTGAATAACTGCGTGACTGCACAAGCGTCGCATACATCTTTTATATAAATACGACATACTATTTAGTATATTCTTATTACTCATCATAAGATTTCGCTAAATATTATCATCAGGTTAGTTAATATTCCGTTAATATGTCGCGGTCATCGCCGTAACTAATGGTGTGGAATGGCTTCTAACGGTTATACGGAATGTCATCAATATCCGAAACGTAACACTCGGCTTCAAATACTATCCGGTACAGTTCCTATAAACGTCGGTTGTACGGTATAGCAAATGTTTCTGTTTCATCAACGAGCGTTTACTACTGGTCATCCGAAATACGGTACCCGATGTTATGCCGTCATTCGATTGCAAAAAAATCCGATTCGGATCCATTTTTCAATTTTTTTATTCGAATCTTGTCACGTTTGCAGCCGGTGTTTTCATTCCCTCTTATTATAATTTTAGCGTTGTCTTACGCCGCCTGCTCGCTGTTCTCAAACGATTAAGTGCTCTCTCCGCGTTCGCCCCAATTCCAGCCCCATTGACGTTTTGGCAGTTGTTCCTTTATATCTTGGACGTGATTCCAAACGAGTTCCTTCCGATTTTCCTCCGTAATGTTCTCTCGCGTTCCGCCGAGGTTCTATTTTCGTTTCGGTCGAGTGATGGTAGAGAGGAAATATTTTTCCGGATTCTAGGCGTGGTCGCGGCAGCAATGCAGACCTAACCTAACCTAACCGTGCAGTATAACGATTTCCCCTTGATCGTGACGTCCAATCAGCTGTGGCCGAATGCGATGTCTTTCGCATCTTTCGATCCTTATCGACCCCATCCCAGGAACCAAACAACACACACACACATGTATGGGACTTATACCGGATATGGTCGCAAGACTCGACAACTGAGTTTGTACACCGTTACACCGGTGTGAACGGTCGTCAAAAATGTGTGCTAATGAAACGGAATCACCCCCGTCCCGCACCCGTTACTCTTTGACGTGTCGATCACACCTTCCGGCTCAGGTCGGCTGGAGATCGATATTTTTTCCGATCGTTACCACGCAACAACGAATGTATACGTACATCATCGACATATTCTTGTACGGCGGCGACGAATTATTACTATTACAGTCGTCGTTGCGACCGACCGACCGACCGACCCAGCAGCGACCGGCATCGACCGGCCGTGCTGCTGCCGTACACGACGAGCGCCTCCGCGAACGAGACGGCTGCGCTAGGTCGGTGTAGGCGGCCGAAGGGTTGGAGCGCGATCGATGCGCTGCTGCGCGGCGGCGGTGGCCCGAGCCCGCGGCCGTGACGTCACCGGCCACGCCGAGTCGCGGTCGTTACGTCACGGACGCGGTACAAACCCTCCCCCCCTCGACACGCTGTAACCGGGTTCGAGTCGATATACCACCCACCGCGGGACGAAAGGGAGAGTATCGCCACCGCCACGTTGCCGGTCCGCGCTCGCGTCGCGCACTGGCTGTTATTTTTTCCTTTTTTCCTTTTTTTTTTTTTTTTTTTT